TCTGTACCTCCCATTCCTTTAAGACTTTATTAAAATGGGCCATAACATTGTCATTGTAATAGTCACCAGCACGGCTTACAATAGCTGTGTCAGAGTGATTTTCATCCACAAAGGTTTTCAGTTCAACCCACTTTGCACATATTTCCTTAATCTTTGAAGTAGGCAACTACCTCAATTTCTCTCTCCCCTCCTCTGAAGCAGTTTCCTCAGGTCTGGCCTCTTGCTGTTGAAGATGATCTTGCAGCTCTTCAGTGGTTAGTTCTTCATTGTCCTCCTCCCCTCCTCCACCAACTCTTCCACATCCTCCCCACTAACCTCCATCCCCAAGGACTTCCCCAGTGCCACAGTGGATTCCACAACTGGCATACGCTTCTCAGGGTTAGCCCCAAACCCTTCAAAATCCCTTTCTTCTATACATTGTGGCCACAGTTTCTTCCAAGCAGAGTTCAAGGTCCTCTTAGTCACTCTCTATAAGGTTTACACAACTGAGGATGCTAAAATGATCTTTCTAAAACTCTCTTTGAGTCATTCGAGTGTCTGAGGTCACTTCAAAGCACTTTTGAAACATAGCTTTTGTGTACAATTTTTGGAAGTTTGAAATGACCTGCTGGTCCATGGGCTGCAGGAGAGGAGTCGTATTAGGAGGCAAAAACTTGACCTTAATGAAGCTCATGTCCCTAGAAAGTCGCTCTGCCAAGTCTGAAGGATGACCAGGAGCATTGTCTAATACCAGGAGGCACTTAAGGTTCAATTTCTTTTCCATTAGGTAATTTTTCACAGTGGGGGCAAATGCATGGTGTAACCAGTCATAGAAAAAGTCCCTAGTGACCCATGCCTTACTGTTTGCCCTCCACAGCACACACAAATTAGTCTTGATGACATTGTTTTGCCTGAACGCTCTGGGTGTTTCAGAGTGATACACCAATAAAGGCTTCACTTTGCAATCACCACTAGCATTAGCACACATCAGAAGATTAAGCCTGTCTTTCATAGGCTTATGTCCTGGGAGTGCCTTTTCCTCCTGAGTAATTTAGGTCTTGCTTGGCAGTTTCTTCCAAAACAGGCCTGTTTTGATGCAATTAAACACTTGTTCAGGTTTCAGTTCTTCACTGTTTATGTACTCCTTGAATTCCTTCACATATTTTTCAGCCGCTTTTTGGTCTGAACTGGCAGCCTCACCATGCCTTATCACACTATGTATGCCACTACGATTCTTAAATCTCTCAAACTAACCTTTGCTGGCCTTAAATTCACTCACATCACCACTAGTTGCAGGTATTTTTCTAATTAAATCATCATGCAACTTCCTAGCCTTTTTACATATGATCGCTTGAGAGATGCTATTTCCTGCTATCTGTTTTTTGTTTATCCACACCAATAACAGTCTCTCAACATCTTCGAGTACTTGTGATCTCTGTTTCGATAACAAACTTGCACCTTTTGCAAGAAAAGGTTCCTTGATTGCCATTTTGTTGGCCAAGATAGTAGCGATGGTTGGTTGGGATTTGATATACAACCTGGCCAGCTCCAAGACACGCACTCCACTTTCGTACTTAGCTATTATCTCTTTCTTCATTTCCATAGTAATTTTCACCCTTTTTGCCACAGGGTTGACACTAGAAGCTTTCTTGAGGCCCATGGTGACTTATTTTGCAGCTACAAGCACTAAAATCACTGTGATAATATGAAATGTACCAAATGTATGCTTAGATACGACCGCACTGGCTGGCTTGTAAACACTGGCACGCACGGGGCAGCTGAGGCTACGTGGGACGCGTCCCGGACGAATCACGTGAGGCAAGTTTTTTATTGTGAGGCGAGGCAAAATTTTTGCGTTCAGATGCTTTGTATGGTGGATTTAACGTAACGCAATGCGTTCGTAAGGTGGGGGTCCACTGTAATGGTAATTAATAATATGTAAAAAATATACAGAAGTAAAATGCACTGATAGTAATTATGGTATTAACCCTTTGAGGGTTTCGGACGTACTAGTACGTCTTACGCACAGGGTTTTTTGATGTACTAGTACGCATAAATTCTAGCGCCGTCAAATCTCGCGGGAAAAGGCTGGTAGGCCTCCATATGAAAGAATGAGTCTATATGGTCAGTGTGCACAGTATAAAAAAAATCCTGCAGCACACAGCGCATAATGAGAAAAAAAAAACTTTGACCGTTTTTTTGGAATAAAACAGCCACATTGCACTGTATTTTCGTATGGTATTTATTGTTGTATTCTAGTTTTCTTGGTCTCATTTTATAGAATGGAAGGCATATCACATAAATTGAGATGATTTTGACTGGTTTTACAATGAAAAGTACCTTGAAATTGAGCTCAAAGTAGCAGAAATGTTTGATTTTTACCAAAGTTCAAAAGTAAACAAATCATGCCAAGCGTCCAATACACGTCAACTGGTGAGTCTAATATTCTTTTGCAAGTGCGCCAATATGATTTATACTATTTTTTACACTAATGCAGTAGTCTGCATAACAGTAAATCTTCTATTTTTTGTGAGAATAAAAATTCAAAGTGGAAAGTAAAAGAATGTAAGAGGGGCCTTGAGACGTGACTAATGAACAGAGGAAATGTCATTTTAGTGCCAGGAATGTATTTTTTGTTTGTTCTGGACCCTATTCGGAAATTGACATTTTTTGAAATTTGTGTGAAATTGGCAAAATTGCTAAATTCTGACCTCTGTATTGGATAGTTGAAAATGGTAAATGGGTGGTTTCTTGCACTTATTCAATAGAAAAAATGTAGTTCTAGCGAAATATTCATGTTTTTTGTCGACTAGTACAGTGGAATTGGCCGAAAATGGGGCTCAAAGTGGGCAAAATCGCCGATGCGTAAAAATCGCCGAGACCGCTAACTTCGCGAGAGCATAATTCCATAAGTTTTCCATCAAATGTCATAATTTTGGTGTCATTATGATCGGGAAAAGATTCTCTATCTTTTCATAAGAAAAAAATATTTTTTTTTTTAAATTTGGCCGACCCTGAGAACGAGTTTCTGAGAGGGCCTGTCGACCCTCAAAGGGTTAAACAAATTTTTAACAATTGTGTCTTAACTTTCATTCATAGGGCTTAAAACTGATCTTTGTGGAATGCCACTAGTGACTAATCCCCATTCAGATTTGACCCCATTAATGGAAACTCTCTGCTTTCTGTTGGTAACCCATGCCTCTATCCATGCTAGGACTTTATCTCCTATACAATGAGCTGCCACTTTTCTTAAGAGTCTCTTGTGAGGTACTCTTTCGAAGGCCTTACTAAAATCCAGATTAACAATATCATATTCTTTATCACTGTCTACTGTCTCATATGTTCTATTGAAGAACGTCAGTAAATTTGTTAGGCAGGAACGACCTCTCGTGAACCCATGCTGAGATTCATTAATCAAATTATGCTCTTCACGGTGACTTCTAATAATGTCAGCTGAAATTGATTATAATAATTTGCCTACTATAGACGTCAGGCTTAATGGATGGTAATTTGAAGGAATGGACTTATCCTCTGATTTGAATATAGGAATCACATTAGCCATCTTCCACATCTCAGGCACAACACCAGTAAGGATGGACACATTACACACACTCGTTAATGGCTAAGTTCCATCTTGCATTCTTTAAGTACCTTGGAAAACAACTCATCAGGTCCCGGGGACTTATTTTGCTTCATTTTGACTATCTGTTTGATAACCATGTCCCTCGTGACAGTAATATTAGTTAATTTGAATTCATCAGGAACTGAATAATTGTTAATTTCTGGAATCTCAATTATGTCTTCCTGTGTAAAAACTGACAAAAAATAGTCATTAAATAAGAACATAAGAAAGAAGGAACACTGCAACAGGCCTACTGACCCATGCGGAGCAGGTCCATGTCCCCCCCCCTGGATTAGCCCAATGACCCCCCCCTGAATTAGCCCAATGACCCCCTCCCCGGATTAACCCAATGACTCACCCAGTCTGGTCACCTCCACTCAAGGATGGAGCATGGCACCAGACCCAGCAGCACAAGCTAGTCAGGTCCAAGCACAAGCTAGTCCAAGCACAAGCTAGTCAGGGAACTCATTTCCAGTTCGTTATCCATCAGCTGTCCATTCTCAATTTTCAGAGGTCCTACTTTTTCCTTCACCTTTGTCCTATATACTTGAAAGAACCCCTTAGGATTAATCTTTGGTTCATTAGCAACTCTAATTTCATAGTCACGTTTAGCCGTTCTAATCTCCTTTTTTACTTCTCTTTTAGCTGAACATATTGGTCAGTAAGGTTAACCTCTCCTCTTTTGATGCGCCTATAAATTCCCCTTTTCTCCCCTATTGTATAACAGTATTTGATAAGTAAATGAAAATGCCTAATGTGAGGCTAGGCATTTTCATTTACTTATCAAATACTGTTATACAATACAATATTCATTAATTTTTCATAATTTTTATATACCATGGTTTAGTGTGTGTGTGTACTTGATAAAGGCATATTGTCACAGATAGGGAAGTGCATCCAACTTATGTTTTACCAATTATGTGCACAGAAAGGTATTCCTACTGTGTATGTTCTGTTGGACCTTCACACTTATACACAGCAGGGTTCATATGATGCAGTATTCTGTATACAGCAAGGTCAAGGTGCATAAGATGCATTATTATATACACATGAAGGTGCATATGACGCAGTATTCTATACAAAACAAGGTGCATCAGATACAGTATTGTATACACAGCAAGGTTCATATGATGCAGTATTCTATATACAGCAAGGTGCATAAGATGCAGTATTCTATACACAAGGTGCATAAAATGCAGTATTATATACACAGCAAGGTCAAGGTGCATAAGATGCATTATTTTATACACAGCAATGTGCATATGATGCAGTATTCTATACACAAGAAGGTGCATAAGATGTATTCTATACACAACAGGGTGCATAAAATGCAGTATTATATACACAACAAGGTGCTAAGGTGTGGTATTCTAACCTTGCTATTGTCTCTTTATTTCAGATGACATTTGAGACTACAAGCTAACATTTTTCCACAAAATTTTCATGATGGCATCAACATCCCTGCTCTGTGGTAGAGCATCATCCAGAACTATTCTTACATTTTTAAGCAGCGTTAATAGAACACTGCATTCACCAGTCTCGACACAAACCTTGCCACGTCACATTAGAAGAGTTTCAACTTCTTCTGTATTAGAGGCAGCGAGGTAAGAAGTACTTTTACATATCAAAATCAAGTCAAAATCTTTATTTATAAGAAGCATACATAGAACTTAAAATGATTGAAAAGTTCAGTTTGGTCATAGGTTTGATTCAATTTTGGTAAAAATTACTTTATTCAGTTGTATGTTAAAAAGAAAGCCACTTAATATGCAAAGCATTTTGAGCAAATTAATCCTAAAACTTACAATTTAATCAAATTGTAGTTTGATGCAGTCTTTAGTTGGCATAAAGACACTGGACAGGCCAATTAGTGAGAATAGAAGTTCTTGAAATACAGTGGAACCCCGGTTTTCGTCCTTAATTCATTCCAGAAGGTCGGTTGAAATCCGAAATAGACAAAAACTGAAGTACAGTGGTACCCCGAGTTTCGAACTTAATCCGTTCCAGGAGCTAGTTCTAAAGTCGAAACGTTCAAAACTTGAAGCAATATTTCCCATAAGAAATAATGTAAATACAATTAATCCATTCAAGAAACCCAAAAATATTCACAAAAAAAAATACAGTAGGGCCTCGCTTTATGGCATTTCGCTTTGCGGCATTCCGCTAATATGGTCATTTCAAATTATGACCAAAACTCTCTATACGGCTCCCCCCACCTGACTTTCTAATACGGTCACCGCACCCCACCCGGTTTGTTTACATTCTATGTGAGATCTGTAAGCACTACGTCTCTCCATTATGTCTGGAAACTCCAAAATTTCAAGTGTTTTTAAAAGTTATTTCATATTTTACATATACAGTAGGGCCCCACTTTATGGCGTTTCGCCTTACGGCATTCCGCTAATACAGTGTTTTCAAATTATGACCAAAATTTGCTATACGGCAAGTGGTCTTTCAAATACCACCCCCCCCCTACCCGGTTTGTTTACATTGCTTGTGAGCACATGTATTATGTCTGGAAATTTTCCAAAATTTCAAGTGTTTTGACCCCTAAACGGTCCAAACGTATATATACGTTCTCTCGTGTAGTGCCCCCAAACGTATACAGTGGTCCCTCATTGTTCGTAATTAATCCGTTCCTGGAGCCGTTACTATACACGAAATTTACGATTTACGAATCAATTTTCCCCATAAGAAATAATGTAAATACAATTAATCCGTTCCTGACACCCAGAAGTATTAAAACAAAAAAATTTTTAACATGAAATATACATGTAGTACATAAACAATACAATGGGAAATGGTGAATGAAACATTAACAGCATAACACTTACCTTTATTGGAGATTCTTCTTAGTGTATGGGAGACTGGAGGAGGAGAGAGAATGGACTGTTTGTAGTTTGGAAGGGGAATCCCCTTCCATCAACACCTCAGGTACCATTTACTTTTCTGGGGTTGCTTCTCTTCTCTGTTTCTTAATGCCACTTGGGCCACCTTGAGAGTCACTGGAGTCCTGTCTCACAAAATAACTGTGGAGAGAGCTCTGTTTCTGGCGTCTCTTTAACACTTCCCTAAAATGGCCCAAGACTTTGTCACTGTACATGTTGCCAACCTGGCTTGCAACAACCTTGTTAGGGTGATGTTTCTCCATAAAGCTTTCCATCTTACCCCACATAGTAAAAATCTCTTTAATTTCTGAAGAAGGCACCTTCTTCCATCTCTCTTCCTCCTCCTCTGCAGCAAGATTCTGAGCTGCGATGTGTTGCTCTTCCTGCTGAAGCTCTTGCAGCTCCTCAGTGGTGAGCTCTTCATTGTGGTCTTCCACCAATTCTTCCACATCCTCCAAACTCACATCCAACCCCATGAAACTCCCCAGTGCCACAATTGATTTTACAACAGACATAGGCTCATTAGGGTCAGTCCCAAATCCTTCAAAATCCCCCTTGTTGACACAATCTGGCCACAATTTTCTCCAGGCAGAGTTCAAAGTCCTGGTAGTCACTCCCTCCCAAGCCATACCTATAAGGGTTATGCAGTGGAGGATGCTGAAGTGTTCTCTCCAAAATTCCCTTAGGGTCAAGTGAGTGTCTGTGGTCACAGTCAAGCACCTGTGAAACATTGCTTTTGTGTAGAGTTTTTTAAAGTTTGCAATAACCTGCTGGTCCATGGGTTGGAGGAGAGGAGTGGTATTCAGGGGCAAGAACTTTACTGTGATGAACCCAAACTCCTCGAAAATTAGGTCATCCAAGTTTGGAGGATGAGCAGGTGCATTGTCCATTACAGTGGACCCCCGCATAGCGAGTTTAATCCGTGCAAGAGGGCTCATTGTTATGCGAAATGATCGGTATGCGAATGAATTTTCTCCATAAGAAATAATGGAAATCAAATTAATCCGTGCAAGACACCCAAAAGTATGAAAAAAAAATTTTTACCACATGAAATATACATTTTCCTACACACAGAGAGAAGGATACATGCACAATAGTAGAGTAGTACATGCACAATATATATTGTGCATGTACTACTCTACTAAATGAAGAATAAATGACACCTTTATTGAAGATGCAGCAATGACTGATGAGACACTGTGTCCTGGGAGTGCCTTTTCCTCCTGAGTACTGTAGGTCCTGTTGGCATTTTCTTCCAGAACAGGCCTTATCACACTGTGTATGCCACTACGATTCTTAAATCTCTCAAACCAACCTTTGCTGGCTTTAAATTCACCAATATGAGCACTAGTTCCAGGCATTTTTCCCTGTTCACCTGGGTGTTAGTCGACTGGTGTGGGTTGCATCCTGGGAGACAAGATTAAGGACCCCAATGGAAATAAGTTAGACAGTCTTCGATGACACTGACTTTTTTGGGTTATCCTGGGTGGCAAATCCTCTGGGGTTAATTGTTTCTTGGTATTCTCAATAAGCCACACCAACAACGGTGCTACAGCAGCAGCTGACAGTGCTACAGCAGCAGCAGACGATGCTACAGCAGCAGCAGATGATGCTACAGCAGCAGCAGACGATGCTACAGCAGCAGCAGACAGTACTACAGCAGCAGCAGCTGACGGTGGTACAGCAGCAGCAGCAGCTGACAGTGCTACAGCAGCAGCAGACGATGCTACAGCAGCAGCAGACGATGCTACAGCAGCAGCAGACGATGCTACAGCAGCAGCAGATGGTACTACAGCAGCAGCAGCAGCTGACGGTGGTACAGCAGCAGCAGCAGCTGACAGTGCTACAGCAGCAGCAGACGATGCTACAGCAGCAGCAGACGATGCTACAGCAGCAGCAGACGATGCTACAGCAGCAGCAGACGATGCTACAGCAGCAGCAGATGGTACTACAGCAGCAGCAGCAGCTGACGGTGGTACAGCAGCAGCAGCAGCTGTACCACCAATAGTAGCAATGGTTGATTGGGGTTTATTATACAACCTGGCCAGCTCGGAGACACGCACTCCACTTTCATACTTATCAATGATCTTTTTCTTCATCTCTGTAGTAATTCTCACCCTTATTGCTGTAGGGTTGGTACTAGAAGCTTTCTTGGGGCCCATGGTCACTTATTTTGCAGATAAAGTCACCAAAAACACTGTAATAATACGAAATGTTCCGATTGTATGCTTGGATGTTACCGCGGAGGCTGGCTGGTAAACAATGCCACCGGCGGAACATGTGAGGCTGGCTAAGGGCGCACATTGGACGCATCTCGGACGAAGAGCGGTGAGCGGGTTTTTGAGCGGTATGCGAGGCAAAATTTTTGCGATAAAAGCGAGCGGTATGCGGATTGTACGTTATGTGATGCCGACGGTATGCGGGGGTCCACTGTACTAGCACGCACTTGAGATCCAATTTCTTTTCCAGGAGATACTCCTTCACACTAGGGCCAAACACTTCATTGAACCACTCGACGAAAATTTCCCTCGTGACCCATGCCTTACTATTAGATTTCCAAAACACACACAATTTACTCTTCATAACATTGTTTTTCCTGAACACTCTGGGATTTTCAGAATGGTACACTAGTATTGGCTTCACTTTGAAATCCCCACTAGCATTAGTGCAGAACATTAGCATCAGCCTGTCTTTCATAGGCTTATGTCCTGGCATTGCCTTTTCCTCTTGTGTAATGAAGGTCCTCTTTGGCATTTTCTTCCAAAAGAGGCCTGTTTCATCACAATTGAACACTTGTTCAGGTTTCAGTCCTTCACTGTTTATGTGCTCCTGGAATTCATGCACATACTTTTCAGCCGCCTTGTGGTCTGAACTGGCAGCCTCACCATGCCTTACCACACTGTGTATGCCAGTACGGTTCTTAAATCTCTCAAACCAGTCTTTGCTGGCCTTAAATTCACTCACTTCACCACTATTTGCAGGCAATTTCTTTACCAAATCTTTATGCAACTGCCTAGCCTTTTCACAAATAAACGAAGTCATAAGAGTATCTCCTGCTAATTGTTTCTCATTTATCCACACCAATAATAACTTCTCAACCTCTTCCAGTACTGGTGATCTCATTTTTGTCAGCATAGTTACTCCCTTTGCAACAACAGCATCCTTTATTTCATTTTTCTTGGCCACTTTGGAACATAAGGTTGTGTAGGGTTTCTTATACATCCTGGACAGTTCGGCCACACTTGTACCACTTTCATATTGTTCAATGATGGTTTTCTTAAATTCAATCGTATTTCTCACCTTCTTTACCACAGGCTTGGCACTAGGAGCTTTCTTTGGAGCCATGGTAACTTATTTAGTACATACTTGCAAGCACTAAAATAAATGGAATATTATGAAATATTTCGCTGGAGCACGCGAGGGGACCTTCGCTCACTGGTAAACAATGTCAGACTGGCTGCAGCCCTGGCTCACGCCGTGCGTACGCGTCCCGGACGAACTACGACTCGCGAATCAACCTATGAAAAGCGAGTCCATGTTTATATGAAAATACCCCTATGATTGGCGAATTTTATGATTTCCGGGAACTACGAAAAGCGGGGGACCACTGTACATGTACTATATGCGTTTTCTTTGTCATTCATTCAACATTGCCACGATAAGCCTGAGTTGCCTAGACATGAGAGAATGGGTGTGTGCACTCACTGTGCACCATATTTAAATAATTGGGGATGCCTGGGTACCATATGTTCTTTTTTCCTATTAAAAAAAATGATTTTTTTTCCTCAAAAAATTTGGGGCACTACGCAAGTGAACATATGTAAATGTTTGGACCATTTAAGGGTTTTAAACTTATGCTTATGTGTACCTGTACCTAAATACAGTGGACCCCTGCCTTAAGAACGCATTGCATTACCTTAAATCCGCCATACAAAGCATTTGAATGCAAAAATTTTGCCTCACCTTATGATAAAAAACTCGCCTTACGTGATTCATCCGGGACGCGTCCCACGTGTGGCCTCAGCTGCCCCATGGGTGCCAGTGTTTACAAGCCAGCCAGTGCAGTCGCATCCACGCATACATTCGGTACATTTCACCTTATCCCAGTGTTTTTTGTGCTTGTAACTGCAAAATAAGTCACCATAGGCCCCAAGAAAGCTTCTAGTGCCAACCCTGTGGTAAAAAGGGTGAGAATTAGTATGGAAATTAAGAAAGATTTTGAAGGGTTTGGGGCTAACCCTGAGAAGCCTATGTCAGTTGTGGAATCCATTGTGCCTACTTCAAAGATTAAGGAAATGTGTGCAAAGTGGGTTGAAGTGCAAACCTTTATGATGAAAATCACCCTGACACAGCTATTGCAAGATGTGCTGGTGACTATTACAATGACAATGTTGTGGCCTATTTTAGGCAAATCTTAAAGGAACGGGAGGCACAGACCTCTATGGACAGATTTTTAATAAAGTTGGTAGAATTACCGACAATATGTAAAGTAAAAGGACACAAGTGCAAAAGAGCTCTTCAGATCATTAATTCTCCATGCACCAACACCACTCCCAACAAAGTTATAATTCTTCCCAACAGCCAGGTTGCACTGAACGTTTCTGAAGTACTTTCACAAGCTAACACCAGAGTCGCCATCGCTTCTAGCACTTCAATAAAGGATCTAACCAGGACAAAATCAAAGCACCACGAACCAGTCAATGCAGGGGTTTACACTATACCCTGTGGAGGCTGTGACAAGATTTATGTAGGTGAAACAGCAAGAAACCTCGACACCCGCCTCAATGAACACATTTACGCATGTAGGAACGATAACAATTCCACCAATCATCTCATGAAATTCAGGGACGCCCAATTAGTGATCAAAGAAACTAATTTCCGCAGACGCAAGTGCCTCGAATCAGCACTGATCGCTGTTTCAAATACAATTAAACAAAACAACGGCAGTTTCACTATCTCTGAAGTCTTAGCAAGAATCCTCCTGAAAACAGTAAACCCTGCCATCACATAGTCTCTCCTGTTATACTACACAAAGCACATTACAGAGAGTGAACACTGAAACAGGCTGCCTCTATCCAGTCTATATTTGTCCAACCTATTTTTATGTTACCCAAGTAATAGCTTTTATATCCTTTTACTCATGTACGAATTAATTGCTCTTACCATATTGTATTACTACTACTACTACAACTTTTGTCACTACTACGTCTACCACTATTATTGCACCTCACTCTGAGCCTATATATACCCTCTGTGTCCATGTATTGTTTGTAATGGCTTGATAAAGCTCCTGGAGAGCGAAACGTTGCCACAATAAATGTCACATTAGTTGCACTTGTGTCCTTTTACTTTACATGGACAGATTTGTTGTGCAACAGAGGTCCAGTGACTCTCAAGCTGGTCCTAGTGACATTAAAAGAAGAAGGGAAGTAACTCCGGAAAAGGACTTGCTACCTCAAGTCCTAACGGAAGGGGATTTCCCTTCTAAACAATAACTTCCACACTCTCCCCTCCTCCCATCCCATCAATCATCACCAGATCTTCAATAAAGATAAGTGTCATGTATTTTATTCTTAGTAGAGTAGTAATTGTGCATGTCTTCTTCAGTTTGTGTGTATTAAAATTAATATTTCATGTGGTAAAAAATTTTTTTTTTTCATACTTTGTGGTGTCTTGCACAGATTAATTTGATTTCCATTATTTCGTATGGGGAAAATTAATTCAGCTAACGATAATTTCAACTGATGATGAGCTCTCAGGAACGGATTAATATCGTAAGGCGGGAGTCCACTGTATACTTACACACTGTGCTGGCGTGTAGGTACACATTAAAATCACTAAGAGTCTCTCTACTCATGATGCTATAGTAATACTGTGTAATAATAATCTCTCTTGGGCACATTAACCCTTTGGGGGTTTCGGACGTACTAGTACATCTTACGACCCAGGGTTTTTGACGTACTAGTACGCCTAAATTCTAGCGCCCTCAAATCTAGTGAGAGAAAGCTGGTAGGCCTACACATGTAAGAATGGGTCTATGTGGTCAGTGTGTGCAGTATAAAAAAAATCCTGCAGCACACAGTGCGTAATGAGAAAAAAAAAAACTTTGATCGTGTTTTTGGATTAAAACAGCAACTTTGCACTGTATTTTCGTATGGTATTTATTGTTGTATTCTAGTTTTCATGGTCTCATTTTATAGAATGGAAGACATATTACAGAAATTGAGATAATTTTGACTGGTTTTACAATGAAAAGTACCTTGAAATTGAGCTCAAAGTAGCAGAAATGTTCGATTTTTACCAAAGTTCAAAAGTAAACAAATCATGCCAAGCGTCCAATACACATCAACTGGTGAGTCTAATATTCTTTCACAAGTGCGCTGATATTATTTATACCATTTCTACACTAATGCAGTAGTCTGCATAACAGTAAATCTTATTTTTTTTTTGTAAGAATAAAAATTCAAAGTGGAAAGCCAAAGAAATATAAGAGGGGCCTGGGGAGGTGACTAACGAACAGAGAACTTGTTATTTTAGTGCCAGGAATGTCTTTCTTGTTTATTCTGTACCCTATTCGGAAATTGGCATCTTTTGAAATTTGTGTGAAATTGGCAAAATTGCTAAATTCTGACCACTTTATTGGATAGTTGAAATCGGTAAATGGGTGGTTTCTTGTACTCATTCGATAGAAAAAATGGAGTTCTAGTGAAGTAGTTATGATTTTTGTCGACTACTACACTGGAATTGGCCGAAAATAGGGCTCAAAGTGGGCAAAATCACCGATGCGTAAACATCGTCGAGACCACTAACTTCGTGAGAACATAATTCCGTAAGTTTTCCATCAAATTTCATACTTTTGGTGTCATTATGATCGGGAAAAGATTCTCTATCTTTTCATAAGAAAAAATAATTTTTTTTTTTTTTTGAAATTTGGCCGACCCTGAGAACTAGTCTCTGAGAAGACCTGTCGACCCCCAGAGGGTTAAATGTCTTATTTTACGTTAATATAGACATTTTCATATATCCATCTATGACATTTTCTTCAAAATTATATAAGAAACACATTACATAGCATATAAACATTATACATACACCCACAGAATAAAAATTGACACAAATACGAGATTTGTTTACAAAGTGGCTCTGCAGGAGTGTCGGAAGAATTACGTTTTCTCTAGTCAAATACTGAGGGATAACTGTAGATAAATATTCTTTTCGTATGCCTTCACTCTATATATAGCAATTCATGACCCTTTTGGGTTTAGTGCTTCTTTTTTATTATGATTATAATAACTTGCAATAATAATTTGTAATAATAACTTGTAATAAATGGTAATCATCTACACAGCAGCTTTTTGTTGGGTTATTAAAGGTTTGAGGTGCTTGGCTGTGGTTGATTCCCAGGCACAAATACCATAGATGAGGTAGGGATATGCTATTAGAGTGGTATAGGGTAAGGAGTGTCATTTGGGGTACATAGTACCATATCTTGGAAAGGATGCTTACTGATTTGGAAATTTTCTTGGATATATGCTGGATGTGGGAATGAAATTTAAGATTACATTCAAAGTAAAGACCTAGAAATTTTCCCTAAGTGTGTCTTGTAATGGGGGAACCATTTATCTATATACAGTATTAAATTGGATATTGAAGGCTCTGTTTCCAAACAGGATGAAGTTTTTTTTTGTCTGTGTTGAGAGTGAGTTTGTTGTTCATCCAAGTAGTATATATTTTTAGCAGCTCGTTGTTTACAGTGTTTCTAACTAGGTTTCTAACTAGGTTTCTAACTAGGTTTGAGTGGGAGTAGACATAAGTAGTGTCATCTGCAAATAGAACTAGTTTAAGGGGTTGAGATGCATTGGGGAGATCATTGATGTAGATGAGAAAGAGGAGTGGACACTACCCTGGGGCACTGCAACAGTTGCAGGCTGGATATACTGATGTCTGGATATACATACTGATGTCTGGATATACATACTGATGTCTGTTGTTAAGATAAGATTTTAGGTAATCAAGGGAATGTCCTCTGATGCCGTAATGATTTAGTTTTAGGTGGAGGAGATTGTGGTCTGCTGTATCAAATGCTTTCCGTAGGTCAGTGAAGAGCCCCAGTGGATATTCATTTTTATCGTGGGCTGTATATATTAGTTCAAGCATAATAGCATCATTCGTACTTTTTTTTTTGTCTAAACCCAAACTGGCAGGGGTTAAGTATGTTGTTGGATTTAAGGTAGGAGTAAAGTTGTGTATTATTTTTTCGAATAATTTAGAAAGTAAGGGCAAGTTTGATATACTAGGTCTATAGTTATTCAGATCAGTTGGGTCACCTTCATTGAGGATCGAGATAACTGTTGCTGTCTTGAGCACATACTGTATTACATGAATAATGATAATATCTTTTAGAAAGGAAGATGATACTCAGAAGACAAGTTTATCCATCCAAGGATATTTTGCTACAAAAGATCGAACCAAAGAAACGTTTATTGCTGCCTGCGATGTTTTCAAAGACAAGAATCCTCATCTTCGAGGCCATGTGGAGTTTGTTTATGCTGCACTGCAACATATGGAGGAATATGGAGTGCACAAAGACTTGGAGGTAATTTTCTTTTGAATGCCAAATTCTTGGCATATGTCTTTTCTTGGTATATATTGGTATATATTGTATATATTTCTTGGTATATATTGTGGGAGACGGCCGACTTGTTGAAAAAAAAAAAAAAAATTTATAAGAATCTTATTTAAATATAACCCTTATTTTTAATCATAAAGCACTGCCAGTATAATAGGGAAAGATTTAACTCCATCACCTAATTAAGCATAATTTTGAAAAGTTATACAAAAGACCAACAAATTAAAGCCGCACTTTAGAAAATAGTTTGGTAATAGGCCTAGTCTTTCTGTACCTTGCTAGCATCCAATTATACAAGTACAACACCAGTTTTTCTGGCACCTTTGGTTTCTAGGCTTTGCCGGTTTATCGATTTTGCAGGACCAACAGAGATCATATAATAATAATTCAACAATGCACCTCTGTCCCACCATGGGACTTACAAAAAATATTGAGGTACTACTGCTCCCAAAGTGGTAAATTTTTAGAATTTTTCTGGAACTGTAGAGGTAATCACAATGTTAACTGTTAGCAAAATATGCTAAGAATCATATAAAATCAATAGAACACCACCAACAACTTCAGTGTAAACAATATAAGTGAGCACATACTATATACAACACCACCTGCCCCTGCATAGTAAACTATTTTCGCAGAAAATTAGTCTTGTAATTTTGTCCGGACTAAAAGAGGTGCCAGACAGCTGTTGCCAGTAAATTGGTGTTGTACCTGTGTACGTGGCAGTATACTACATACATAAAAAATATAAATTCAGAATATTAGTTTAGTTATAAAAATACACTGTTGCCAGTTGCAGACACAAACAAATTATAAGATAGGTTTAAATAAGGGAAATAAATAAATACAAAATAATATTGAGAGGAAGTATGGGGGTAGTAAAGGTAATTACACTTTTGAGTGATCATGGCATGAGCATAACCACAGGCAAGATCTCTCAGTGACAGAATGTGTATATCAGGTAATAATAATAATAATAATCTTTATTTTTATAAAGTTACATAATACGTAATTGTTACAGAAATAGTTGACATTTTTGGTATTCCTTATAGAAAGCCCCTGGTTATGCAAAGCATTTCAGGCAACATTAGGATTAACTTATAACTACCTGGAGTTTACCTGGAGAGAGTCCAGGGGCCAACACCCCCACGGCCCGGTCTGTGACCAGGCAAGCAGTAACAGCCTGATCAACCAGGCTGTTACTGCTGGCTGCAAGCAATCCAGCCTACGAGCCACAGCCCAGCTGGTCAGGTACCGACTTTAGGTGCTTGTCCACTGCCTACTTGAAGACAGCCAGGGGTCTATTGGTAATCCCCCTTATGTATGCTGGGAGGCAGTTGAACAGTCTTGGGCCCCTGACACTTATTGTATTGTCTCTTAATGTGCTAGTGACACCCCTGCTTTTCATTGGGGGATGTTGCATAGTCTGCCGAGTCTTTTGATTTCATTGTGAGTGATTTTCGTGTGCAAGTTCGGTACTAGTCCCTCTAGGATTTTCCAGGTGTATATAATCATGTATCTCTCCCGCCTGCGTTCTAGGGAGTACAGGTTCAGGAACTTCAAGCGTTCCCAGTAATTGAGGTGTTTTATCTGCATTATGCGTGCCGTGAAGATTCTCTGTACATTTTCTGGGTCAGCAATTTCACCTGCCTTGAAAGGTGCTGTTAGTGTGCAGCAATATTCCAGCCTAGATAGAACAAGTGACCTGAAGAGTGTCATCATGGGCTTGGCATTCCTAGTTTTGAAGGTTCTTATTATCCATCCTGTCATTTTTCTAGCAGATGCGATTGATACAATGTTATGGTCCTTGAAAGTGAGATCCTCCGACATGATCACTCCCAGGTCTTTGATGTTAGTTTTTCGCTCTATTTTGTGGAAGGAATTTGTTTTGTACTCTGATGAAGTTTTAATTTCCTCATGTTTACCATATCGGAGTACATGTAATTGAAATTTCTCATCGTTGAACTTCATATTGTTTTCTGCAGCCCACTGAAAGATTTGGTTGATGTCCGCCTGGAGCCTTGCAGTGTCTGCAATGGAAGACACTGTCATGCAGATTCGGGTGTCATCTGCAAAGGAAGACACGGTGCTGTGGCTGACATCCTTGTTTATGTCTGATATGAGGATGAGAAACAAGATGGGAGCGAGTACTGTGCCTTGTGGAACAGAGCTTTTCACCGTAGCCACCTCAGACCTTACTCTGCTGACTACTACGCTGTGTTCTGTTTGTGAGGAAATTATAGATCCATCTACCAACTTTTCCTGTTATTCCTTTAGTACATATTTTGTGCGCTATTATGCCATGGTCACACTTGTCGAAGGCTTTTGCAAAGTCTGTATATATTACATCTGCATTCTTTTTGTCTTCTAGTGCATCTAGGACCTTGTCGTAGTGATCCAATAGTTGGGACAGGCAGGAGCGACCTGCTCTAAACCAATGTTGCCCTGGGTTGTGTAATTGATGGGTATCTAGATGGGTGGCGATCTTGCTTCTTAGAACCCTTTCAAAGATTTTTATGATATGGGATGTTAGTGCTAGTGGTCTGTAGTTCTTTGCTATTGCTTTACTGCCCCCTTTGTGGAGTGGGGCTGTGTGTGTTGTTTTTAGCAACTGTGGGACGACCCCCATGTCCACGCTCCCTCTCCATAGGATGGTAAAAACACGTGATAGGGGCTTCTTGCAGTTCTTGATGAACACGGAGTTCCATGAGTCTGGCCCTGGGGCAGAGTGCATGGGCATGTCATTTATCGCCTGTTCGAAGTCATTTAGCCTCACGATAACTTCAGATATTGCTTGTGTTTACCAAATTCTGTGGCTCTCTCAGTTAGTTTAATATGTTTATTATGCACCCCATACCCATCCTGTGGGCGGTAGTCAAAAGATTACAGAGGTACATAATGGGTCCAGGGACTGGGCCTCAAAGTTTTGATAGCTGAGCAAGTTACAGAGGTAATGAATTCACAATTTACAAAGGTAATGAACTCACAATTTAGAAAGGTAATGAACTCCAGGTAGGTCTAGTCACAATCATGACAAGTTACAAAGGTATTTACAGATTACAGAGGTACACAATGGGTCCAGGGACCGGGCTCCAAAGTTTTGATGGCTGAACTAGGTACAAGGTAATGAACTCACAAGTTACAGTAATGAACTCACAAGTTACAAAGGTAATGAATACTGTAAGAATGGTTACTTACGTTTATACATGGCTGCAATCATGAACAAATTTTAGAGTAATGAGCAATTCACACTTCCACACCCGGTCACAACTGTAGTGAGTTATTGGTGCAAATGTTGATTGCTGAGTCTCTCTCTCTCACACACACACACACACACACACACATACAAATTCATACACACACACACATACACACACACACACACACACACACCACACACACACACACACACACACACACACACACACACACACACACAACACACACACACACACATACACACACATACACAAACTCATACACACACATGCACACACACACACACACACACACACACACACACACACACACACACACACACACACACACACACACACACACACACACACACACACACACACACACACACTCACACACTCACACACTCATACACATACACACAAACACACACACACACACACACACACACACACACACACACATGCACATATGTGGTAATGCTTTATTTACAGCTAGCAAAGTCAGGGTATTTCTCCAGAATGGTCTGTAATATACCACTGTGGATAAAATACTTAGCCATTTCTTGAACACTTCTGAGTGAGTTGTTTCTAAATTCATTAATTTTATCGCACTCCAGTACATAATGACGCAGGGTGTGACAATAATCCATCTGGCAAAGTTTACATTTCGTTTGGTCTACATCTGGTGGTGGTGATTTAACCTGCCAAAGATACTTGTAACCCAGCCGGAGCTGGGTGGTAGTGACATCCAAGAGTCTTCTTATTTTGTTGGATGCACCATAGACATGTGGCTCCTCCTGCATGATAGAATGATGATAGATGGACTCACTGGTGTCAATCTCCCTGAGCCTTAAGTCCATAAAATTCAGCTGAAGTTCTTTTCATATTATTGTTCTCAAACTACTACCTGACAAGCCAAGATTGTAATCTACTCCCTCTTTGAAAGCATACAGCTTAGCCAATTTATCAGTTCTATCATGCATCTGAAGACCAATGTGAGATGGGATCCACAGCATGTGCACTCTGACTCCACTGTCCACAATCCTACCATACCTGTGTCTGGCTTCTGACACAAGCATGCCACAATTTATGCTTAATGAGTTGAGAGCATTTATGGATGACAGAGAATCAGTTACAATTAAACTGTCAATCTTTGATACATAGATGCATTTCAGTGCAAGGAGTATGGCAAACAGTTCTGTCTGAAGGGTAGAGGCCCAATTATTGATGCGTGCTCCAATTTCTTTAAGAGAGCCATCACTCTGTACGACAACAGCAGCACTACCAGCTGCACCAGTGGATTGGTGAACAGAACCATCAACGTAAATAATTTGCGAGAGTGTGTGCTGTGTGACTAAGTTATCAGTACAGCTTAAGGCCTCATGTTTGGCTTCAAGGCGAAGTTTTGGTTGTGATTTAAGAAGTAGTTTGGGGGGAAAAATTTATTTAGATCTTCGACTCTCAGTCTGGTTAGTGGCTTGCTAAAAACTGAGTCATATTGGGACTTGAGTAACTCACTCATTTCCTTGTTGTCATCTGTGTAGGACCCACCTTGTTTAAGTAGGGGCCCAATACTGGATGTTGTTCTCGACTTTGATTTGGCATAAGAAAAGAAATACTTTGGGTTTCTTTCGATTTCATTTATGGCTTTTAGTTTTTCCCGCGATTCTTGACTCCTATAAAATTCCTTTAGCTCTAGTTTGATGTTTGCTATTTCTCTGACCAGTGTCTCCCTATACATTTCAGATATATTGGCCTCTTTTAGCTGCT